ATTATTTACTTAGGTATCTATAGCTACATCTTAATTGCTATTACATTTTGCATTTGTACACTTTAGAACTTGATATTTTTACGTTACCATTTTAATATAAGTATACTGCTTCGGATTATGAATTTCAAAATGCAATATAATATAAGTTATTAAAAATGTTTTAAATTAATTTACCATCAAAAATAAAAGGAAAATAAATTTTTAGAAATACATGATTCTTATATTTTCCAAAAAAAATAATAAGTGTTTATTTTAAAATAATTGGCATAATTTAATATTTGTATATACATTATAACATAATAAGTATACTAAATATAACATTAATGTTGAGCCAATATAGAATCGTATTTACAAATAAATAATAATACATAGCTAAAAAAACTATTATTCATACTTGAGATTGTCAATCATAAGTAATTTGATGATTTCATTTAAACCATTGTATATTTAAATAATTTCGTAATAAAAAAGATAAATCAAAATTTATATAATATCACAATAAAAAAAAATTAAAGTTTAATGATGTTGTTATTTGTTACCTATTTAACCATTCAATTTATCAAAATTGCAACACAAGAAAAAAGAATTGAGAAGTGTAATATAATTGAATTATGAATAAATCAATAAACTTACAACTGTTGTAATTATTTTTTTATCAAAAAAATATAACCCTACTTACTTTCTCTTCCAATAACGCATAGATATCGCACCCCCAAAAATATTTAAAAGTAATATTAAATCATTTTTTTTAAAGTAGAAATAACATAGGCCACAGTTAGGATGTATTTTTATATTAGATTTTATAACAACTGTTAACTATAATATGTAAAACAATTTTGAACGGAAATAAGCTCACAATAATATGTTAATATTTCGTTTTAAAATTTAAAGTGTTAAACAATACGAAATTGCAATATGGTAGAAATACCTGTTAAACTTGAAATGTCTAATCATTGTCTAAAATCCAAATTATTAAAGGAAAATATTACCCTAAAATAAATATAATTTAACCATAATTTAAACTATAAATTTTTAACCAAATGATCAACTATAAAACATTCATAAAGTACCTGTTACACTTAAAATATAATTTTCTTTTAATTTTAAAATTGTTGTAAAATAGTTACATTTTTATAATTACCTTGAATATACTAATAATTTTAAAAGTTACAACTTAAAATATTAGTAAAATGAAAAGATACTGTCATATTAAATCTATTGTTGCTATTTCCTATTTTCTATTTAAATGGATTATGTATAATATGTAAATATATACATATAAATTACATAATTGTTAAAGGGGGAAGAGCATAAATTGAAGTTACATGATTAAGAAACCACCGAATAGTAACACTTAAATTACTTTTTTAATTCTAAAAAGTCAAATTCTATTTATTCATTAACTAATTTTATATTATTATTTGAATTATTAACTACTATTATTACATTTAATGCATTCATAATTTAATAAAACACACAATAACAATAAGCAATATAGAGAACTTAACATCTTAATTATATGTATAAAATTATATATATTTTTTTTTTTAAACTAAAAAGTAATAATAAAAATGTGTCAAGAGACGTTAGTTCTCAAAAAAAACAAAACAAAATAATAATCAAACAGACGGACAACTAATTAAAAAAATTTGCCACAGGGATTTTTAACAACAATGATACAAACAACAAAATATAAGTAGGTACAATGTGATATGAAAAATATGTATAATACAAACTTAATGAAATGTGTCAAGAGACAAAAAAAAAAAAAAAATTGTACCAAATTGTATTAGATGAGTAAAATACCAACAAAATAAATACATATCACTATTTTTCCATATCACTAATTCAACAGTCATAGTATATTAAATGTACAAATAAAATTAAATATCTATTATCATTAGTAATCTTGTAGGGCCATTGGTTTCTGGGTAAAAGTGATTCTTATTAGTTTAACGGCGAGAGGTCGTTTGTTTGAAAGTTATGTATACAAATGAAAAGTATTCAAATATAATCTATTAGAAAGTTTAAATGTTCGAATATATTTTCGATTATTCAAACATTTTTACTGTGGAATCAACAATTTAAATTTTTCTTTATCGCAAATTTGTGAATATGTTCAAATATGAAAATACAAAGATGGCTAAGAGTTAATGAAAATATTTAACTCAAAGTTAAGTTGGGTTAAAAGAGTACAAGATTGATAAGTTAGAAGTTAACTGTTAACAAATTAAAATTTAACTCGATAAGTTAAAATGTAATATAGAAAAAAATATTAATTCAGTTTAAAAAAAGCTACTCTATTTTCTTTTAATTAATATGTAAATCACGTACAAAATGACTATGTCTTTCTAATTTACTAAATCATAAACAATTTTATTGAACTTTTATCATAAAGTACATTGTACAGTGTAAATACCCTTTTACATTACAAGATACATTATTATTTATTAATTTTAACTATACACATCTCAAATTAATAATTCAACAAATATTATTTTTTTATGTATATATAATATAGAAAATGAAGGCAACATTGAGAACATTTGAGACAATGAAATTTATAATTCATAATTTTATTAAAATATCTCATAAAAAATTGTTTAATATCAATTGCAAAAAGCTAAGTTATTTAACATTTTAACTAGTTAATGCCCGCCTTTGGAAAAATATAACATCCCTATATAATACTATTCAAATATAAGTTCATTCGAATACAATCTATTTGAACACTCTTTATTAAAAAAAAATCATTTGAACATTTGACTGGTTCCCTAGTTTAATCGAGTTAAAAAATAAATGTATTAATGTATTATCATTGAATTGGATAATATTTCAATTTCAAATTTTATACCTAATGCTATGGTGACATACTAAAAATAATATAGGTATTGACTATTAAGAACCAAAACATAGTACCTATATTTAGTATTAGTATTTAGGATTAATATAATTGATAAAAAAAAAAAAAAACATTTCATATTAGGTATTTCTTATTCAACTTTATATTTAGATAGCTTTATTCTAACAATGAAGTATTTGAAGCTCAACTCAATGAAAGAGGGATTTAAAATTTTTAAATATACCATAGATTACCGTGAGGGGCTTCATCCATCATTCATAAAATCTATGATTAATTTAGATGTTTTGAACATTTATATTTGTTATTTATAATAAAATGTTATATAAGAAACAATTTAAATTTGTTATACCTACCTCATGTTAATCTAGCACCCAAAATTTTCTTTTTAATTTAATTATCAGATAAACTATTAAATATTAGTATTAAATTATTCTTAACACTGACCAATTAAAATGTATTACTGATTGTAATTAATAATTACTTTATTAATTATTTAAAATTAAAATATCTATTGCAAAAAGCCAACATAAAACACTAAAATAAAATTTAAAAAGTCAAGACGTGGTGAAAGCTATATCCTCCACTTTAAGTTATCCAAAATAAAACACAAAATTAATGAGACTAACTCATAACATTTAAATGTTTGAATAACTAGGTAATATAAAATAATTTGAAATAAAAATAAAATACATTAACCTAATGTTTCCTTTAAGCTATTATTTCATAATTTTAAGAATATTAATCTGTTATTTTTCTATTAAAAATATATTGATATTTGTTAGATCGTGTACTTAATTAATTTAATAAAACTATTTGTAAAAAAGAACAAAGGTATTATGGGAAACATAAGGTAACATAGGTACATACTTAAATATTTTTGATTATATAATTATATCAAATAAAAATGTATTTGATTAACATAGATATAACATGTAATATACCCTAGAATCCATTGCTTTTATATTACATAATTATTGATAAGTGATTTAATATAGTAAGTAATTATTTTTTATAAAACTACAACTGCAGTTATAACAATTTAGTAACAATAATAGATCTGTATTAAAATATAAAATACCTAATTAAAGTCCTTAGTGAACTTATGATAAAAATTATTAATGAAGCAAATAGTTTAATTATATATTCAAATTGATGTATTAATTAAGTTGTAAATATAATATGATATTCAGGTATTTTGTTTACTTATCACATTGTTTTAATAATCTAAGTAGCAATAGTTAATTGTAAACAAAAACTTATCAATAATTATGTATGTATAGCACTTAAAATAATAAGTTATCTAAAACATTAATGACATTTTTAACAGAAGGTACCTTTAAATTATTATATTTTCAACAATATCACAAAAAATACAAATTACCATATCAAATTAAACATTTTAAACTTAAAATAAATTTAACGGTAGGTACCTACCCGGAATTTGAAATTTTGATTAGAATAAATATGTTAGAATATATTTCTTAACAAGAGTACATAAGTTACATATTATGAATAAAATATTAAATAATAATTATACATAATATTAGTTACATTTAAATATTAATAATGAAAATTAATATGGTTTTCTTAATAGTCTATTGACTACCAAGTATTCAAGCACCAATATACTACATCATGATATCTTAACTTTAGTTAAAAATGGAAATTAATTTTTAACTTACTGTATATAATAGGTATATTATATTACAAATATGATTTATAAATATTAAAATGTATGTCTTAGATTGAGTAGATAACTAACTATGAATTTTTCAAAAGGTATAATTCAAATTTAAAATGTAATGCTTAAATTGCATGTAAATATATACAACAAAAACAAATAAGTACTTATGTAAAAATATTATTGAAATACCTATTCAACCAAGTAGAACTAGAATTTATTACTAATCAATATTCTAATCAAATGACCATCATTGTGTATAATTTTTTAAAAATAATGATACTCATGAAATGTGTAATACAAAACAATGTTATTATGTATTCTTCCTGTACATATGATCTAGAATGTAAGACATAGATCCAAAATTTTAATAACCAACTCTCAATGATAATTTAAAGTGGTATACAAACTACAATAAATACCTAATAATCATTATTATAAACTCGATTTACATACCTTCATATTCGACGTTCACGTCCAATTTACCGTGTAGTGAAGTCATCAAATCGGTTGTGTTGTACTCGTTGTTTCATTTTTACCATCGATAGTGATGTAAAAGAAAATAACTAACAGGTATGATTAATGTATTATAATAATATTATTATGATTTTAAAATCCCGGTTAGATACGATGAGGACGAACACAACGACTAACGAGCTTCGGACGGATCGCACGAGAATGATAAGACTACCATAATCACGGCTTCATGAAATGAAAGGTTCACCAGAAAAAAAAAACATAAACACCGGCGCGGCGGTGTGGATGACTCGCTATCCGCCCCGGCCGGCTGACCGACGTGCCCCAAGCGGCCAGTCGCAGCGTGTGACCTACAAACGCATCGACGAAGACCTTCACGAAAACCAATTCGCAAGTCTAATATTTATTAGAAATTAGAAATAACAATTCAATTATTTCCACAAATTTATCCACAATTGTTACTTGTTAGTGACTATAATATGCATAATACCTCATTAACACCTTAAATTTCTTCAATTTGTAATTTATCATAGATACCTACAGCTTACCAACCTACGTGCTTGCACAAATCTAATCATTTTGATTTTATTTAAAAAAAAAAAAAAAAAACAATGTAATGATTTAATGACTAAACGGAAAATTATTTAAAAGTATATTATTATAGGTATTACTTATTTATTAATATTTTTCGTCTATTTATTGGTTATTATATTAAATAAAATCATATTACAATGAATATGTTATAATTTAAAATAACATCTTTAAAAAAATATAGTCAGATCCCCCAACCTTGTGTCCTACTTTTTAAACCCTCTAAGAGCGTCAAAAATTATGTCAATTATTAAATAAATTTAAATATTAAACAATAGTCAATAAATTTATAAGTTTTGGAGAAACATAATTAAAAAAGTACAATTTTTCTTTTATTTACCTCCGGTATGCTAGGGAATTAATTACTATTTTTCTATACCTACAACAAATTGAATAGATAAGTCCTTTAGAACAAGAAACGTTAAAACAAACTATAGAAATTATCAAACAAATAAGTAATAGCAAACAAAATACGCATACGACTAGAATAATGTGTTTTTAGTAAGAACTAAAAAGTATAATATAGTTCATATTTATAGAAACAAAAATGTTGTTATTTAATTTTAGGTAAAACAAATTTCTCATAGCCACATAGGTACCTACTACCTATTGTATGTAAGAGTCTATTTTACAGTAGATCGAGTGTAAACATTTTATAAAAAAAACGGTTCATAAAAACATAATAAAACTACTGGGGTTCTATACCACAATAAACTGAAAAACGTCAAAAACACAGTAACCAAATAGACATATCCAGAAAACTCATTTAAGAGAGAACAAATAATTATAAATATAATAAGAATAAGCCATCTCCCATCTCATGCACTCAGATAATAGAATCTTCTATTATCTATGCATGCACTATACTCCCCTGTTTGATAACTGAGGAACCTAATTTCTATCACACCTAACATACACTTATAATAATTAACTACTCCAATTATGCAAACTCGCTTATTTTCCTCGACAGTCAAAAAGTCCTCAATCAACACAACACAGCTAAAATTTTAAAATTTTTCAAACTAATAGACTTTGATAAAAAAAACTGAAAATATCAAATATTATATCTAATATTGTAAAAAACTATTATTATATTATGTAAATTTTACTATAGGCTAATAATCGAGATAATTGAAGCCTTTATATTAATAATAAAAAACGAAAAATCTGATAAAGTTAGGGTTGCCATATATCAGTTTAGTCAGGACCATACTACACAAAAAAAAAGTAGTGTTTTGAATGTACCGTCTATAGCTGTCCCAAAAAAGTTTTTAAGAACAGTCAATAATTATCCCAAAATTGAACTTCAATTTTTGATGTAAATATTTTATCTTTTAATAAACATTTCTTAAGTAGAAAAACAATATTGTTTTGAATGTTTTGATAAATGATAAAATAATTAAGTTGCTTATATATTTTGATTAACTGACAAAATCCATTTTATAATTGTTTTTCTGGTTTGATGACAATCATTAATTTATTAATAAATAAATTCATTGTTTCTTTTTCCACACAAACATGTTATGACTTATCGCTAATGATTTTAATTGTCTATTAATCTTAATTTTTATACTGTTTTATTCTTATTATGTAATTGTCAAGCTATCATAGTTTATACTAGCGGCTTTTATAATAATAATAAAAAAAAAAAAAAAAAAAATCGCTAATGATTGATGATTTTGTCGATTTGCCATTATTTCGATTTGTAACATTGAATTATTTTTTTGCCTTACATATGTCACAAATTTGAAATTGCTGACCATTGTGTGTGGTAACTGATAATATAGGTTAATCTAAAACTGGTGATTTACCATGGAAGAGTGGTATATGGTTTTTCTCATAAAATATTTATACAAATGTAAGTAAAATAGCAACCCTACAGATAGAATTAGATAAAAAAAAACTCTATATAGTCTATTATATAGTAAGAAAATATATAAGTATAATATTATACTTTATTATATATACACAAAATATAAACAATAAAAAAAATCGTCAATGTTAAAAATCGGGTCCACACAATAATATGATAGTAAAAAGCGATATCTAGTTGCATTTTTAATAGCTATAATATTGTAATAGTCTAAAGACTATATGCCATGTTCCCTTGAGGAAGACTGATATTGCAATAATTAATGTCACGATGATAGAGCTATTGCAGTATCGCGCTATTTAAATATTAAAACAAGCGTGTTAATAATATTGGTAGGTAATAGATTTTAGAATTTAGGGGATTAAGTTTGACCAAAATTACAACTAAATTGATTATTTAAAAAAATCTCAGAATAAGACTTAATACGTTTAAATTTGTATCTGACATAACCCACAATTTTTTTTTTAATTTTTGAATGCGGCCCAAGAGTCTAAAAAGATTACCGACCATTTTATTTCTGAATATACTGAATTAAATATTATGTGTATTTTATTTTAAATTAAAACCATTATTAAGAAATATAATCTTTATTGTATGTCATAATATATAAAACTTAATAACTAAAAAAAACGTTCATTCGAATTTTAATTAAAATAAATCAAAGTAATCAAAATACTTATGTGCTTAAACAATTATTAGTAAAAAAAGGGATGAAGTAAATAACCGCTTTCCTGTTTAATATATGTTGAATGTACCTACCACCTACTCAATAATAGTAAGAGACTGCAGTAACGTGTGTATTACACTTAAACATAATGAAAAATCATAATTTCATACTTAAAGCCATTTTGGGTGAAAACGGCTTGTCTGCAGTTTCTATATATTCCCAAATCTACTTTATTTATACTGCTATAATGGTAAGTTATTTTATTGTTAGTAACGCAGTAGATTGAATTATTTTCTTTAAAATTCATTACAATTATTATGTATTATTATTATTAAAAAATTATAATTACTACAATAGAATAAATATATTTGTACCACACATTATTGTTATTAACTTTCGAGTCAATACTATAACTTACCATAGAATGGTGTGAATATGTTAATGATATAAAAAACAGGCAATAACATAAAATAAATCTAAATTTTTTGAAAAAGTTATCGTGCTTATTAAATATAAATACCATTCATGTAAGTTTCAAGTTCTCACGTGAAATATTTTCATAGATATAAATAAAAAAACTAAAAATAATAGAAAATACCAAATATCTTCAAATAACTTAAAAAGAATAAAAATATCATCATACATAGATAATTTTAATAATATAATCGCTATAAATTTCAAGTATCTACGTATCAACGGTTATTCATTTTTCAAATTCAACAAAATAAGAAAATCGAATTGGAAACTGATTTTACGTAAAATTTCCAGTTGTATCCATTTATTAAGAAAAGTACTGAACATGTATTACTTTTTACTTAAACTTTAAAGTATACATTATAATATCACCTAAACATAGTATTGCCTATACTATTATGCATATAAAATTTATGCAAACTAAAATGCATTTTATATAGCTTTTGTATAATAATACGCCTAAAACATTACTTTATAATTTTATCCATTAACACCTTTAATGAGTTAAAGCTTATAATCATAATAATCATTTGTTTAGAACTGACATAATATAATAACTTAAGGATTCTTCAAAATTATAACCTATACAATACTTAAACCTTATTTAATTTATGTGGATTTCAGTGGATATTTTAACTAATAATATGTTGGATGATATTTACGTCACCAAAAGAAAAATATTTTTTGCCTAATAGATGATAATATATTATGATTTATGGGCGACAAGCCGACAATGTTTAAAATTATTATATAATTGTATTTAATAATGAATATTAATTTATTTTGTTTGATTTTGTTATTTATTTATTAATCATTTCGTTTGTAATTTTAACTTGAAAGTAAAAATAATTATTGAGATTTTTCACGATAACAAATTCGTGTGACTATAGTTCACTGTAGGATTCTATAAAACAATATAATACAAGAAAACAATATAAAATATCGATAACTATCATTCCACCACCGTGAACACGCCACTGGCTATAGCTATTGACTGGATTTATTGTTTAGTTTGAACCTCTAAGTTATAAATACATTTTTTGAAGAAGCTTGAAAATATAATGCAAGTTTAATGTTACTCATTGATAATTTCTTTAAATATTCACTGCAAGTATTATATGAGAATAATGATACTTGTTAAACACACGGATATTGGAATTAATAGCCTGTACACTCCCTGTATACATAATAGGTATAGGTGATTTTATAAGTAAAGCCACGCGTAAATATAAATGTAGACTATAGATGAAACAATTAATTTTTCTAACTAATCAATGTTTCAATAGATTATGTATAATATTACTCTAAAATTATGCATAGTAATACTATAATGATTGATGAATGTTAAAAAAAAATATACGAAATTAAAATAAATTAAGTATGTGTATAATAATATTCATTAAATATTTTTTTTTACCACCAATAATTAAATAATAATATTGTTTAAAAAAATATTTAGTTTCAAGATGAATCAGTTTTAAGCTTTTCTAACTTTTGATGTGTCAGATATAATATGTATTATATTTTATACATACTTGGAACATATTATCTTTATGTTCTATAACCATACATAATTCTAAGTAAAAAAAAATAACCATTTTTGGCCGTAATGAGTTTCTTTGAAAATAAAAAAAACTACAAAGTTGAATACATCATAATTTGCAC